GCTTGCGTTGAGAAGGTCCCGTCTCTCGGACAGCGGCACGAGGAACCTGCTGAGGCCGTACTGCAGACACAGAGAGTAGTTCTGTTCTTTGTGCAGCAACTGGTACACGGCACTGCGCCGAGATTCCTCCCTGTTCAGCGGATCGGTCTGAAACAAGATCTGTTTGTATTCAGTATTCAGGCTTTTGCGAGAGAAAAGGCAACAAGATGGCGGTTAAAAGAATACAAACCTTTCTCGCGTGACCCTAAGTGCAAACATTGACATGTAACGGGATGGCTTTACTATATTTCGCTTTTACTCGCCTGCGTACAGTTATTTTTAATTGCCTTTCAGAAATATATATTGTTTAAATCTTGTCCGTCTAATCACAATAAATTCTTATTAAATATTAAAATATTACAATAATTAACATTTAAAATATTTAAAATGTTAAATGATGTTCTTTATCGAAATATTCGATTTACATTTACATTAATGTAATTTATAATGTATTTTAAATATTTTAAAAGTTAATTATTGTAATATTTAATAAGAATTTATTGTGATTAGACGGACAAGATTTAAACAATATATAATGTAAATGTAAATCGAATATTTCGATAAAGAACATCATTTAATATTTTAAATGTTAATTATTGTAATATTTTAATATTTAATAAGAATTTATTGTGATTACTGATAAATTCGATTTACATTTACATTAATGTAAATCGAATATTTCGATAAAGAACATCATTTAATATTTTAAATGTTAATTATTGTAATATTTTAATATTTAATAAGAATTTATTGTGATTAGACGGACAAGATTTAAACAATATATATTTATTATATCACAATATGACGCAACTTTACTATCTCATGCCTTTCAGAAGTTGTGTCACTGAGTGCCATACTTAACACAGCAAAGATAACATCCACCAAAGAATAACGATCAGCGATCCAGCTGTAGTCGAAGACTGTAAACAGTGAGGACATTTACAGAAGAAAAACATTACATTACATCAGCAGGATCAATGGACGAAGAACTTGAAGGGATGTTGAAGGAAGAGTTCGTCGCCTAATTTCAGCTGCTATCTCGACGTTTGCCTGGACAACCTGAGGAAAAATGCGAAAGCCTGTATAGGTGGTCTGCAGGTCGAGATTTGAACCTTGGCCTGCCGAACACAAAAGAGTGAAAACCATTGGACTGATGAAGAGATTAAAGGTGGAACCGACGAATATTTCGAGTTTAGGGAGCAGGTAAACAAGAGTACCAGAGACAACAGAAGACTTAATACTTACGAAA